ATCCATATGTCTCCCTCTAAATCTATGTCTATGTCGATCTCTAAAATATGTGGAATTTCATCAATACATCTGGTCATATCCTATCCATATCTAACAATTCTCTCTATATCTATTTCTATCTCGATCTCTAATATCTATAATATCCAATAAATTCATCAATATATCAGCTAATATCCACTCCATAACCATTAATCTTTCTATCCATCAATCAAATCAACGATGAGCTTTGATCTGATTCAACATAATTTTCAACTACTTCCCTCATCCTCATCCATAGCAAAACCTATAATACCCCCCGGAAGTGTATGCTAGAAGCACTGTCTGAAGTCACGAACAAGAAGAAGCACGAGCACCCGTCGCCATAGAGGCCAGACTTAAGTTCTGGTTCTGATTCTGTTGCCGTTTCAGATTCAGTTTCTGTTTTGCTTGGAATCGTGAGCGACACTTGATGCGTTCAAGCCACTGGGACAGCGTCGGACGGGCGCCGGACTGGGGCGTGGCATACAGCTCAGTTAAATGCAATTTACTTAATGCCTGCACCCGCTGTCGCCTCTTCCGCACTCGCTCTGTCTGCTTATTACTTCATAAGTTTTATTATTGCCAGCGAATGAGGCAGTTGAGTTGAGCTTGTCGAGCTTGTACATAATTGGAAAGAAAAACCCGTTGAAATTGAAGCGGCAGCAGCTACGGCTACAACAACAACAAATTGCAATTAACGATAGTCAAACACAGCCTCAACCAGACTGACTGCTGAATACTCGCTCGAGGTGGATGAAATGCTAGGACTTTATCAGGCATCGAATTACATTATTATATAGGAATTTGTATATGTTACCAATACGTATATTATCTATAAGAATTAATCTATAGCAAATCATTCAAATTAACGCATGCTGGCTATAGAAAGAGGTATGTATGATATTATCCAATATTTTATTCTACATTCAATGCCAATTTCAGGTCTATTCTCTCGTTTCTATAAGATAGTAAGTCCTATAAACTAGTCACGCCTATATCTGGTATTATCCCACTATCTTAAATCTTTATCCTTCCAGTTTGCCAACTCGTATTTATACTAAATTTCCAAGACTTCTATTCCATCAAACGAGTGCCAATATACTTCAATAGCTCTACAAGAAAGCATTAAAACTTGCAACAACAGTTGCTGCTGCTGCTGCAATAGCCTTGACAAAGCAAGAGCTAGAGAAAGAAGAAGAAGGAAGAGATAGTGAGAGCGAGAGAGCAACAAATAGTTGCCAAACGGCAGCTTCTTGGCAACTTGTGTGTGACATTCATAACTTAGCTTTGCTTTGGCAGCAAGTTGCATCCGCAGCTGTTGCTGCAACTGTTCAATAATGCAATGAAAACATTTAAGTTGCAGCAACTTGGCGACTGCCCGAGCCCAGCCCCAGCCCCCACCCCCTCGTGAACAGTTTCTCAATTGCAAAATTTATGAGCTGCATTCACTGACAAAATCGTGTGGAAAATAACAATGCAATTGCCAAAAGCTTTTCCTAGAGTTGTCGCCCATAGAGTTGTCACCAGCAGCAGCAGAGGCAGCAACAGCAATAGCAATATTCCAATTGCAATTGCAATATTTCTTCTATATTTATTTGCTCAAGTTTTGTGACTGACAAACGAGGCGAAATCCAACTTGAGCTACAAAACTTCAAATGTTGGTTACCAGGCACTTTGTCAAGCGGTTTGCCAGGCACACAAAACTAGGAAATAGCCGTTTACAACACGCCTGATTGAGCAGGCAAAATAACGTATTTATAAAGTTGAAATCCAATTGACGTGGCTTCAAGTTTTTGCTTTATATGAAATCGAATAGCGTAAATAAATATACCGAAAAAAAAAATAAAATACTGAATAGGTATATATGACAGAATTACAAAGAATAAACAAATCTCTCTTCTCTCTCTCTCTCTCTCTCTCGCTTCCCCTTTTTTCTTATTTAATACCATTTTGGCTGGATTAAAAACTTGATTTTGATTTTGAAAATGTGACCCTATTGCATATTAGGCAATCAATATCTGCTGCCAAATATGGTCACATTGAACAGTAATCTAAATACTGGCCATTAGCTCAATCTACCTCTCTCGCTCACTCTCTCCCTATTTAACCGTTTAACAGCTGTTTTTAGCCATTTCTGGCTTTGCTCTGCACATAAAGCGGCTTTTTTTCCCAGCTGCAGACAAAGCTCAAACTTGTTTCTGAAACGCGAATATCGAGAGTAGGCACTAAAACAACAACAGCATTGACTTGTGGGCGTTGAGAGACAATTAGCCGCATGCCGCAACCCGAAACAAGTTTTGGTGAGTCAACAGCAACAACAACAACAACAACAACAGCAACAAATATTCGCTATACGGAATCACTGTGGCGCCCCAAACCAAGCGTGACAGAAAAATCAAGCGACCAGCTATAGATGAACCTGATGAACTAGCTGTATGCTCTGTTCATTTTTTCTTAGAGAAGTAAAACTAATCTCATTTACATGATAAAGCTGCATGCTCTGTTCTTTTTTCTTAGAGAAGAAACTCTAAATATGGATGAGATTGATGAACTAACGAAATGATATACTGCATTCTTTTCTTCTTAGAGAACAAAATCTAGATATATATAGGAAAACGTCAAAGATGCTAACAGTCAGAGATCTGTAAGGGATATGTTCAAGACGTCAAAGATGCTAACAGTCAGAGATCAATAAGGGATATGTTCAGGATTATATAACGATAGTTACCGATTACTTAAATTTATTAATTAAATTCAAGTAAATATGAAGAAAAACTGAAGATTTTACTTGCCAACAGATATATTATATGGAAATAAAATGAATACATCAATATTTATTGATTTAGAAAAGTAAGAAAAACTCTCTGAAAACTTGTGCTTACAAAATTTGGTTTGGAAAGGTTTTTGTGTTTGTTTTTGATTTTATTATTTTTTTTTTGCTAATAATACTTTTTGATTTTCTGTAATCAAATCAAAAAAATGAAATATTTATATATTTTCTATTTGTATTTTTTATAGAGAGCTGTTAGAAATAATATACGTAAATCTCCAAAAAAATTTTTTGATACACAAATACAATTTTTATACACCTCATTTGCGCCTCATCATATTTACAGGGTATACTCAAACAAGAACTATGGAATTTCAGCGAGGCAAATACAAACTGTTCGACTAAAAAGTGCAGTTAAGAGTAAAGAGAGCAAGAGAGTGAGTGAGAAAGAGAGGGGGAGAGAGGAAGAGAGAGGGAGAGAGATAAAGGGTATGTGTAGTACTGCAATTGCGTTGGTTAACAAACGTATTAGCGTGCATATTGTGGATTATATTCCATTTATTTCATCTTTCAGCTATGCAAGCGTCTGTCTCTCTGTCTCTCCATCTGTCCGTCTGTCTGTCTGCCTGTCTGTCTGTGTGCATTGCCAGCTGTCAGTCATAGTCAGCTACAGCTGCTGCATTCAATTACCATGGGGGCAGCCCCTGCTGATGCCGCTGCCGATTTCAATGCTGTTTGACCATTAAATGCTTTGCCAAATGATTCAACATTCGACAGTTCGCTTGCTGCGCAGCAAACATTTATTTTCCAATTTTTTGTTACTTTTCGTTTTGTTTCGTTGTTTCCAATTTCTCGTGTTTTCATAGTATTTCAAGCGCTTTGGCAGCTCTGACAGCTCCGTGCATAACTGTGGGCACAATTTCCAAAATTATTTCCACAGTTTCTTCTATTTTTGGCTTTGCTTGGTTTAGTTGGCTTTGGCCAAGTTTCATTCACGTGCAGCAAATGTGTTTAAGGCAACGCAACTTTTTGCAACTAGATTCAAATTTCCAGCCAAAGCGAACTTTGTCATCGCAACTTTTGCCATGGCCAAGCTAGCTTTATGGCCTGCTCTGCAGTGAAGCTAATAAAGTTTAGCCAAATTGTGTTTGGGCTTTAAACATTTTCTCATTTGTGTTGCCAACTTAGACAGATGGCTCAAAAAACTCATGTTTATCTATAATTTATGCAACTTTGCGAGCGAAAAGTTTAAATTGAAACATATTTTAGCATAAGCCAAAGCTAAAGCAACTATAATTCGACATAAAGTTCATGAACACATATTGGGAATAATTTTATAATTTTCTGTTTTTACTTTTATACTAATAATATTTCTTAGTTTTTGCAGTTTAAATAGCATCGCTAAGCCCAGGCTGTGTCTTTCGCACGCTTACGGCTGAGAAACAAAGCAAAATCGCGAGAGTTGGGCTCTTCAGTTGTTGAATCAGAAGAAGAGAATAACAGGAAATGCGAACACAAGTCTTAATTGATAAAAACAATCGAGCTTAAGCTCAAATTAATGCTTGAATATAATGCCAGGAAATGCAAGCTATAAAGCTGGAGAACATAAACTCAACTCGCTATCTATATATGTAAATATATACATATATTGAATAGCATTAGCTGAGACTTTTTTTTTTTTTTTTTTTTTGCATATATCCAAGGTAATCTTTATGCATCTAATTTAAAAGCTTATTCTTTCACGCTTGCCACGCTCAAGTGCTGAGAAACTAAGCTGAGAATTATATAGTATATATCTATATGTGTGTATAACGATATAGGTATGTATGTATATATATTGTGCATGATTCATGCGCGACATTTTCTCATTGCTCAATGCAACGCCCAACTTTATGTGGCCATAGTAAAAATTATATATATATATATACTTCATATATCTATATATTTATACATAAATCCATTGTTGCTGCACCCACACACAGCGCTCTGTGTTGGGCTTCTGTCAGCTTGGCTTCTCTTTTATTTTATTTCATATATATTTTTTTTCTGCCCATTTATGGTTAGCTTTTGTTGTTGATTTATTGTAGTTTAGCTTTTGTTTGTTTAGAGTTTGGGTTTTTTTTTTTTAATAAATATTTTGTTGTTAGACCAAGTTTAAAGTGCCCTTAGATCTAATTTATCGATTGCATTTATCGATAGAACTTCTACTCACTTAATCTGCCAAAGCTGTGCGACAGCCTCTTCTTGAGCTTCTGCAGGGCGCCGCCTTTTTTCTCCCGCATTGTGACGCCTGAAAATGTAGAGAAAGAAAAGTGGGGGGAAAAACTTTAGTATTTCATTGAGCATTGATTGATATTCTTAAAGTTTTTGTTGTGGCTAAGGAGAGCTTTGTTGTTTGTTGTTTTATTATGCCATGCCTCCGCGCTACGACAATTATAAAACAAAACACACAACAACAACAACAACAATAAACAACAGAGTTGACATTACAAATTAACATAAATCAGTGGAGCGTGGTGTGCCATAATAATAAATAGATAACTAGGAAGAGGGCCTCACACACCACCCCACCCCCACCGCAACCGAATGACACGCACATTTCCAAATGAAAAGCCAATTTACATAGTAAAATTCAAATGAAAAACTACTTCAAAATAGAAATGCATTTCGTTGATGGGTATATAGACATATGTATATGTATGCAGTCCAGACCAGAGTGCGGGCGCCTGCTGCTTTATATTTATAGTAAAMCAACAGACTATTCCCCTCTATATATACACATCTATCTATATATGTGTGTATGTGCATCTGTCTGTATTTGTGTGCATTCGTAATTGAGTTATATAATTTGGATTGCTGTTTGACCAATGTAACATTTAGCCAACTTATTTCAGCGTTCAGTGAGCCATGCAAATTGTGTACAACTTTTTGCTTTTAACCGCATCTATTTAAAGGGCGTAATTGTTGTTGCTGTTGTTGTTGTTGTTGTATCAGCTGTTTTCGATTGTTTATTATGGCTGGCGCTGTTTAGCTGGCTCGTTGATTGGCACAATGATTTGGTTAGCACAGTTAAACTAACTGCATATTATATTCATATCGAACGGTTATCCAACTAACATGCCAAATGGTTTTGCCAAGCAATTTATATACTATCTAAATACATATACTTATTTAGATATATATTTTTTATTTATTTATAACTATTAGTAAGTGTGAATTGAAATTTGATATAAATTAAAATAATATAAATATAGTTATGGCAAGTTTATAACATTGTTTGCCTTGGTTGCTGTCATTTCTTCGATTTTTCAGCTTTTTTCAACATAACTCGAGAACTTTTAGAGTTATAGATATGGTATTTGGTGGCTAGCTTTTCGTGACGTTTACATCATTTAAAAATATTTCAGTTCTTTAAAAGCTGCTCTTATGCTGGCTCAAAGCTAAGATATTGCGGATTAGTAAGTTTACTGCACCCAACTAAGGATGGCAACGTACAATTTAACAAGAATTCAAATCGAAAATACTCTGGCTGATAAAGATCAATCAATCAACTGAGTTTCAGGTAACTTTACAATCTGGAGTGGTCTTACATATGAATTTCAAATATAAACTATTCTTTACAAATAAGTTCAAAGTTCATTTGATGTGCCTACCTATAGGAGCTATACTTAATACAGTCAACTTACCTATGCGATAAGAATCTATGCATTATTAGTATAGTAGATCTCTTACTGTAGTATGTGCCTTGTTAACCTACAAGCATATGAATAAAGACATGCATCCATATACTTGAAATAATAGATCTCTATCTTACGCATACATAACTTACATCACAAGTTAGACTAAGCCTAGAAAAAGTTAGTATGCCGCAGCTCGTCTGGCTTGCTCCGAGTATCTTCTAACCACACACTCCCTGCTCAAGCAATTTTCCCATTCTAGCTCTCATTGATTGACTGATTAAAAATTTGCGAAGAATTGATTATTGAACTATTTCTACGTCGTTTTCATCGAAACTGATATGGCAGCTCCATTATAAACTTCCAATCGATGCATTTCTCCACATTATACACAGTTCAGTTAGCCCGGCCAATGCCAACTGGTTTGTACAGTTGGCTAAGCTTTAGTTTCATTTGCATGCCATACAAGTTTTTGGCCAGGAAATTGGCACTCGAAAAGTCATTTATCAAAACCCTTCCACTTGAAACATGACCACCAAAACTTTGTCATTGATGTGAATGATGCCACATAATGCTGCATGCCACGCCACTGGACGGACAGCCACCTTGACAATCCGCCCAATGCCAGACACAGTCACAGCAACGGCAACAATTAAACATAAAAATATATATATATGWATACATTTATATATAGTTTGTGTAGAATATTTTTAGGGTACTAAATCATTTGGGTAAGTGTCTGTCTCTTCGCTGTCGCTCGTCATAGCGATAGCCCACTGTTATTGTAGTGTCCATTATTATTATTATTATTGTGATCATTGTTGTTGTCAAAAGCAATTTGGCTTAACAACAATGCAGACAAGTCGAGCGCAAGCAATTTATGCCATCAATTCATAGATAGACAAGATAGACACATACATACATATATGGTGCGTACATATSTATATGTACCCATAGACATGCCCATATATGCACGTACGTCTATCTCGTATGCATATCGAGCACTTCAACTCAATTAAAGGCACACTCTCATAACCATAGGCTCATAGATGGCTCGCTGTTGCTATTGTTGTGATTCAAAATCATTCAAAATCATAAGCCAGCCCGCAACAACGAGAACAAGTGAGGATAATAGCCAAGCTGAGTCTGCTCGACTAGAGCACATGCTGTAAATAGTGATTATATTAGAGAAAATAATAAAAATGGTTTATTTGTACTTGGATCAATTGCTGAGAATCGCAAAGAAAGGCGTTGAGTGAATGGTAATTCATTTACTGAGACTAAGAGTAAGTTTTTGTATAGTTGAATGCTTGAGAGAATAGCTAAACGGAAATAGAACGAAAGAATGAGAAGATTGGGAAAGGATGGAAAAGAGAGAGAGAGAGAGTTAGTAAAGAGAGAAAGAGAATGGTAAAATAGACGTAGAAGTTAGGAAGTAGAAGATTGGGAAGCGATGGAAATACAAACAGAAACTATGAAAAATGGATAGAGATAATTAATAGAACAAAGCAAGAGAGCAAAAGGGAAAAAGAGACAGAGAGAGAGAGAGAGAGACAGATAATAAGGATAGAAAAAGAGAGAGTAAATAAGGATAGAGAGAAAGAGAATGGCAAAATAGACGTAGACAGAAAGAAGTAGAAAGCTAATTATATTTAAATATAAATGTAAATAGAATCTATGCAAATTATATAAATGAAGAACAAGACCGAGCAATAGAGAAAAAGACAAGGGCAATGAGAGAGATAGAGAGACTGAGAGAACAACACAAAAAAACTATATTAGACATAAGAAATGAGCAAGTAATAGACTAGAAGAAAATCCACCCAATAGAACAAACACTGAACACTCCCAAAGTTGACTTTCCCCTTACAGTTGTATACACCTATTAAACACCTTTACAAGAGCTGCATACCCCACCCACACACGCAAACAGTTTCAGTGGGTATAAATTATGTTAGCAACGGGCAAAACTCACCAACAAGGGCAATAACAACGCAACGGCAATTGGTTGGCTTCAAGTGCTGGCAAACCGATTATGATCCTTTTGGCCTTGGCTCGAATAACGCAAGCGATTGCATACAGGCACTGTTGCTGGCACAAATGCAATATGCAAATGCCGCATGCAGAATGTAGAATGTCGAATGCAGCTGACAAATTGTTTTAAAGCTAGGCAATAGAAGAGGACAACAGAGAGAGGGGAAGGGAGAGAAAGAGAGAGAGCGAGAGAGTTGGAGCAACGAGAGAATTGCATTTACATTAAATGACTCGCAGTTGTCGTTGCTTGTTTTTAAAAGCCCATTAAAGTTGTTTGCGAAAACTTCTATTTTTTTCACTATTTTGTTTTCTTTTTGCCTAAAAAGGCAAATAAGCAAAATGAGTTGCAACAAGCTGCAAGTGGAAGTTGCAGCAACGTCAAACTTATTTAATTAAGACTGCAAAAGGCGCTGCGAAAACTTTTCAGGCAGATGCTTCACTTGCAGTTGTACGAGATCGTTGCTGCTGTTGTTGTTGTAGTTGTTGATGCTGCTAGGTTGCATTAATGAGTAGCGTGAATACACACACACACAATCATAGACACACACTCTTCCTCTCTCTCACACACACACACACACAGAACGCATTCAAATCAAACTTTGCAATTTGGCATCAATGTCAAAGACAGACGAAAATTGACTGGCAGCAGCGAGTTCAATAGCCCCGCCCTGCTTAGGGGGCGCGGGTTGGAGCAGAGGTGTCTCAAAAATAGACTGAGGCAGCGCCACAGTGATTGGCAGCATTATATGAACCGCTTTTCACAAGCAATTAGCACCAGACAAATTCGCCAATTGACCATAATCAAATGCCTGTTAATTACATGCGAATATTCACTGTAAAACGACGAAGAGCTCAACTCTGTCTGCTAATTTGTATATGCGAATAATTACTGTACCTGTCAGCAACTAAGTCACAATTAAAGATTCAACTTAATTACAAGCTTGCAAGAAAAATATATATTCTTTTGAGTAACTCTATCATTATTTCTGACTAGACCAAGGCGGAAAGTTTTACTAGGAAACAAAAAGGTTGCTACTTTGGTCAATTACTTAAATGTAGTTAAATTAGCTAAAGAAGTTTTGGTCTGATTTTAGAATTCATTGCTTTAAGTTTGTAAAGAGAATCGCATGGAAGATAATATTACAATCTATGGATTAATCAGTTTGTGAGGAACTTTGATAGAGCTTCCATTTTTATCAAGGTCTTTTTTGGTTAATCATAAATTATTTTACTGAATATTATTATCTTCATTCGTACAACTTATCGAAAATCTCAATCTAATAATAGTATATAGTCTAAGAGTCTAGTAACCAGAGGATAGTTGATAGATAAAAGTTGAAGATATATATACTCATAGCTGATCTAGTCTACAAATATTCCCATCAATTATACATAAAATGATATTTCTGTTATTTCTAGAAACATATTGAATCTAACATATATACATCTATATAGTTGACCTGGTCTATAACCAACATTTTAACGGTTTACTCATTCGAGGCATGTTATATAGAAAGACATTCTCAAATAGCTCTCACATTGGTACCACGCACCGCCTTTTGCATATCAAAATCGCAAT